CGGGGGTCCCCCAGGGGCCTCGAGGGGGCCCCAGGGCGGCCCCCAGGGGACGCGTTTAAGGGGCGTTTGTGCCCTTTTGAGAGCCTTCAGGGGCCCCCAGGGGGCCCCAGGGGCCCCTGAGGGGGCCCCCCGAGAGCCCTTCAGGGGCGCTTAAAGAGACCTTCTGAGGGCCCTTCAAAAGGCCGCTTAAAGTTCTTTTAAAGGGCCCTTTAGGGGCCCCTAAAGGGCCCTTAAGGGGCTTTTAAAAGGTTCCTTAGGGGCCCCTTAGGGGCCCCTAAAGGGCCCCTAAGGGACAGAAATGGGCAGCTGGGAAGGGCTTTTGGGGCCCCCTTGGAGACTGCAGAGGGGCCCCCGTAAACCCACATTAAAGTGCCTCTTTGGGGGCCTCGAAAGGCCCTTAAAGGGCCCCCTCAGAGGGCCCTTTAAAGGGCCCTTGAGGGCCTTTTGGGGGCCCCCAAGCGGCCCCTCTTGGGCCTCTTTGAGGCCCATTAAGGGACCCTTCTAAGGCCTTTCAGAGGCCACTAAATGGCCCTTCAAGGGACTCTCCAAGGCTCTGGATTTAGGCCTCTACATGTTCTTTTAAGACCTCATTAGGGGCCCCCTGGGGCCCCTCAAAAAGTCCATTAAAGTCCCTTTAAAGACCACAAAAGGGCCTCTAAAGGGCCCCCTGGGGCCCCTCTAAAAGTCCATTTAAGTCCCCTTAGAGGCCCTTTTGGGGGCCCCCCTAGATGCTCTTCAAAGGCTCTTCTAAGACCCTGAGGGGCCCCTCGAGGGGCCCCCAAAACCCCTAAATTGGCCATTTGGGGCCCCTTTTAGTACGCAACAGGCCTCAAAAGGGGGCCCCATATGCATTAAAGTCAGCCCCATGGGGCCCCTTTCTAAAAGAATATCGGGGGCCCCTAGGGGCCCCTCTGAGCCACCTGTTTAGGCCTTCAAAGTGCCTCAAGAAAAGCCATAATGCCCTGAGGGGCCCCCTGGGGGCCTCTAGGGGGCCCCTGGGGGCCTACAAGGGGCCCCCAGGGGCCCCTAAGAGGCTTTTGAAGGGCCCTTAGAAAGCCCTTGAAAAACCCCTTTAGGGGCCCTTTTAAATATATTTTGAATGTCTTTCTAAAGCGCTTAAACTCCTATAGAAAGATCCCAAAAAGATCCATTTAAAGCTTTTCAAAATGCCACTTAAATTGCATTAAAAGTCCCTTACAGAAATTCCCAGAAAGTTTTTAAAATGTCCTTTTGAAAGGACTTTTTGAAGAGCCTCAAGAAGGCCTTTTTAAATTTCTTGAAATGCCTTTCAATAGGTTTTAAAGTAACTACAAAAAGTATTTTAAATTACTTTTTTAAAGCCTCAAAATATCTTTTTAAGCGTTTCAAACTTTTCCCGAGAAGTATTTCAAATTGCTCTTTTGAAACCCCAAAATGTCTTTTTAAATGTCTCCAAACTCTTCTTGAAAAGTACTTTAAATTACCTTTTTAAAACCCCAAAAAGTCTTTTTAAATGTTGCACACTTTTCCCAAAAAGTCTTTTTAATTACTCCTTTAAAACCCTAAAAAGTCCTTTTAAATGTTTCAAACTTTTCTCAAAAAGTCTTTTTAATTGCCTTTTTAAAACCCCAAAATGTCTTTTTAAATGTCTCAAACTTGTCTCAAAAATTCCCTAAAAGGGCCTTTGAGTTGCCGCCGGCCGATGGGCGCCTGTGGAGTTCGGGTGTACGTACACCTCAGCCCCCTTGAAAAATAAACTTGCCAACGAAGCAAAAGAAGGAAAGAAAATAAAAACAAATAAAGTGGAGCAAATGAAGGGCCAAATTCCCCTTGGCTTGGTGGAAAAAACAAATAAAATGCACGAGGTGTACGTACACCCCAAAGCGCCTTTCTACAGACCTCCCTATACACCCCAAAAGCCAACAGAAACAACTCCAGGTGTCTGTACACCTCAAACTCATTGTGCACCTCCAGGTGTCTGTACACCTCAAATTCATTGTACACCTCCAGGTGTCTATACACCTCCAGGTGTATAGACACCTCAAACGCATTGTACACCTTGAGGTGTCTGTCTATACACCTCCAGGTGTACAGACACCTCGAGGTGAGTATACACCTCAAGCTCAATGTACACCTGGAAGTGTCTGTCTATACACCTTGAGGTGTCTACACACCTCCACGTGTCTGTACACCTCCAGTGTCTGTACACCTCCCGGTGTCTGTACAGCTCAAGGTGTATAGACACCTCGAGGTGACTATACACCTCAAGCTCAATGTACACCTTGAGGTGTCTACACACCTTCAGGTGTCTGTACACCTCCAGGTGTCTGTACACCTCGAAGTGTCTGTACATCTCGCGGTGTTTGTACACCTCCAGGTGTCTATACACCTTGAGGTGTCTGTACACCTCGAGGTGTCTGTACACTAGAAGGCGCGTTTGCTGCGGCGGCTCTCTTGCACTTTGCTGCTGCCGACGGCCCTGTTGAAGTCTTTTGTGTTTATTTCCCAAAGCAGAGGGTCTTCTTGGACATCTCTGAAGAATTCCTTTTTCGCCAAGACCCGGAGTTCTGCTGCTGCTGCTGCTGCTGCTGCTGCTGCTCCTGGGGGCGAGGGGCTCCTGCAAAGGCCCAGCCGCATGCGCCGCTGCTGCGGTGTCTCTCGAGGTTTGCTGCTGCAGTAGGGCCTTTTGAAGGCAGCACCCAGACCACTGGTCAGCGGCTCCCGCTGCAGCTGCTGCTGCAGCTGCTGTTGCAGCAGCTGCT